GTACACCCATGGGCAAATAGTAGACGCTAAATTAACCAATCAGAGCGCGCGCTTTGCTTTAGTTATGTTATAACATGCATTGGTGATGTGTTTTCTTTGTTTTGTTAACTAAGTAAATGATGTAAATAGTGTTCATGTTTTATTTTTTGGTCAGTAATATAATGCTCAGCTTACCATACTGTACATATGCAGCAAGTGCAGCATTAGTGGAGCTGCTTTAAGTTTTGTTTGGAATGTTAAAACAAAAAACAAAACAAAACAAAAAAAAACTGGACATTAACAAACAGTGTTGTTTTAGCTATGTAAACTAAACAATGTAAGTAATCTTAACTATCATCAATTGTAATGTAATTAAGTATTGTGTAAGTTTTTCCTATATACATGTATAACTTATTGTTTGTAAATTACATGTAATAAAAATTAATGAAAAAAAAGTTAATCAAGTCAGTACCACATTCAACTCACCAACAACCAGTGCCACATACTGTTTAGCTGCAGCAGAAGAGTCTTTTGGATCTATTAGCAAGCAGGTCTCCCTTAAATTAAGAAGGAAAAAACAAAACACAGGAAATTACAAATATAAAAATATATTATAACTATTACAATGGCAAAGAAAAGAAGAATTAGAAAACTTTATTCACATTTCAAAGTTCCATATCATGTCATGTATATGCACTTGTACATCAAAGAAAGAACACCATGTCTGATGGGTTAAATTAGTCTAGATACATGATGTTACTGTAGTTTACACTTCCGAGGAAAGATAATTCTACCTTGTTTCATTTTGCAGAGTTGTAAAAATGGCCTACACAAGATGTCTAGTTATATAATGTTGCACAAGAGGAAGTTTGGAATATTTTAAGATTGCTGTGGGACATCAAAAGCTTGTGCTAGTTCTGTGTGTTCATTAAAATACCTGTAGGTGACCAAACCCCAGTTTTCCATAGCTCCTGGAATCAAATAAATAAAGTTTTCATTTAGCACTGAAAATTACCATCTCAGTACCAACTCACACAAACAATAACATCATTAGATTGTATATATTATTTTTGTCAATGTTTTCTTACATTAAAAACTAAAAATAAATCATTTCAACATGATCTTTATCTTAATGGTCACATATGGCAAAGCTATGGCCCTCGGAGCCCCATGCAGGGGGGACTCCCAAATGAAAATGCTGGGAATGCTTGTTGGAAAATTTGAATTAAACCCCTAAAAAATTCCAATCTGGGCTGGGTAAAGCTTTATTTGACCTCTAAAAGGTTACACGTAAAACAGAATAGGCTTGATTACCAGCCACTGATCGGGAAAGGAGCCCAGCTAGTAGACCGAACTCAATAGACTGGCAGAAATTGAGCCTAAAATGGAAATAAGAACATTTTTTGTTATACATGTAATGTCTTCAAGTGCACCCTAAAAGATACTAAAACTAGTGGTGTTTCATCATCAACACCCTAAGTGAGACCAGAATCATTGATTCATACCCCTAAGCGAGACAACCAGCATCCAGGCTGACCTTTTTGGGCTCAGAGCAAGCTTTACTAATTCACAGCAAATGCACAACACTAACAAATTCCCTACTATGAATAATTCATATGATTATGAAAGGATCATAAGGCTCACCTATAACAAAGTCTTGGATGGCAATGAGGTCAAGCTTGGGCAATACGTAACCAATACCAAAATACTCTTTGTAAAAGGGCAGGCACTTCTGTGCAACCTAGTTATTGATACCANATAGGCACTTTAAACAAGAGCTATTTTACAGAGATACAGGGGCATAGCCAGGAATTTTCATAGGGGGGGGTCGATTCACACTGTGTCAAAGTGAGGGTACTCACCAGATTGTTATGTTGACCTCCTTTGATACAAAACAGATTTTAAAAAAGTGGGCTTTTCTACAATGGCCAAGATATTGTCATGGCATTTTTGGCCACCTGTTGTAGGTTGTTTGCTTGAAAAAGGCTTACAAAAGGGGGAGTCATGGGCACCCCAGGACCCCCCCTACTGTAGCTACTCCCTTGAGAGAAAGGTGAAAAAGGAAAGAAGAAAAGCCATCCATGAAAAGGAAGCTAATATTTATAACAGTTATTACTTTCTTTGCTTTATCTCTGGACATTATTTTCCTTTGAAATATGGCTTTTGTAGTCAGTACATGGCCTAAATAGCCAGCAACTACTGCTGTATATAGCTTTTAGAGAACATGTGAAGAGAAATTGAATTTTTCTCACTTTGACAACATTTTGCAGTGTAATAATATTTACACTGAAAGGTTAGCCTTCAGTTGGTGTGAACCTCGTACAGATCTGTTTGAATTTTAATTCATACAGATCTCTGAATAAATTACAAGTCATACAGAGAAAACATGGAAACTTTAAAGTTGTGGTGTTGTTTGATCTCACCTTGCTGCAGGTTTTAAGTTCCATACTAAAATTCAATTCCATGAGTGTACTCTGTAGTACAGGGGGAAGAATCAAGGGTAAAAAAGAATGATTACTGGTACAATGAGGACATTTGAATCATGAAGGTCCATGAACACTTTGACAGACTGATTTAACTAATTTATTTTTTATAGTAATGTAAGCGCATTGAGTTTTTAAATGCGCCCACAAAACTTTATTATTATCATCATCATCATCATCATCATTATTATTATTATTATTATTATTATTATTGTTATTATTATTAAACCCCAATTCTTTGGTATGAAAACTTAGGTTAAGTCTGCGTTTCAGGCTAGTGGCCAATTTAGGTCTACGCTTATGTCCAGTCGCTATAGCATGAAGTGACTAAGGAGTATTTCTACCCCTCCTGGATGGGAGCCTAGTCCATCACGGGGTTAACCCCAGCATTTAACTTGCCCATGCACACTGGTGAAGAGAGGCTCTGTGAGAGTAAAGTGTCTTTCCAAAGAACACGACGAAATGACCCAGGCCAATGCTTGAGCCTGAACTGCTTGATCAGAGTCCAGTGTGCTACCGCGTCTTCTTCGTTTATTGTGTTCCTCACGAGTTGGATTTTTCATTAAAAAAAAAAACTGCACTAAGAATGTCAAATGTTCATGGTTTGAGTGTCCATAGTGTAGGAGCCTCAGTTAGTTTGGCTTACACTTGTACTTTTTCGCTATTTCGTTAGAGACTGCCAAAAAGCAGACTGGAAGAATCACAAAGCTTCATGCACCGATTCCAAAGGACCCAAGGCAAAGAATGGATGTGCCTAAAACCAAATTATCGAAAATTTGAGTTAACCGACTCCTGCTTGTAGAACTGCACTCCCTTGGTCTTCAATTAGTTACCAGGAGAGCTTACTAGCTGTACGTTCCAGGAAGATGGAACATGCCACACCCACGAGGTATTGCGTGGTAATGGGTGTTTGATACGTGAATCAGATCAGAATTTGTAAAAATCAGGACTATAATATTCGCCAGCATATCTTTCTTTAGATAAAGATATCAAGGTTATTACATGTATCTATTTGTTTTTAATTTCTTCCCATTTCGGTAAACAAAAATCACGAAACGTAGTTTTGTTTGTTTTAAAAGTTGAAACCTCATTTCCAGAGCTGTAAATCAGATGACTTTAGACCATTCCGGGATGAAAAAAAAAAAAAAATACTGAACTAATTTTTGTAAGAATCTTAATTTTAGTTGGATATAAGAAATACAATACAAATACAAATACAGTTTAATTAATTGCTCTTACAAGAAAGCATTGTTTCCAATTGGGTAGTCTCAGTTTATAGTAGAATAGGTGGTGCTTAAGTAATCACATGTAAACACAAAATTATAAATTCTCAGGAAAAAAAAAGAAAGAAAAAAGGCCATGAGATAATCTGTAACAAAGTCTAGGACCCCATATAAAAACAGATCACCGAATTGGTTAGAAGTACATATTATATCTAAGTAATACTAATAGTGTAAAAAGTATAACTATATAGAACTGGAGTTAGAGTACTCATAACTCCATGAAAAACCTCAGTTCTAGCCGTAAACATATTTTCATTCGTAGCACTACGAGTTTCTATTGGAAGAAGATTCCAAGTATCCGAGATTCTGTGGAAAAAATTGTATTTCAATACATTTGTCGTGGCATATTTCTTTTCCAAAGTTAAGTTGTCCGTATGCCTAAGGGAGGAACGGTCCCCCTCAGAATAAAACTCAATAAATTATAGGAAGGGACACAATATTGACTTTCCCTTTGAGTGTCTTAAATATGAATGTTATATCAGCCAACAATCTTCTCTTCTCCAAGGACATAAGAGTTAGCTTTTTTAGGCGAATCTCGTAACGGTCATCATTCTTTAGGATGAATTTGGTAGCTCTTCTCTGTACCTTTTCCAACCTTTCATTATTTCGTTTAGTATAAGGAGACCACACTTCAGAGCAATATTTCAAGTTCAAACGAACCAGTGAGCAGTAAAGACTTTGCAAAAGTCTTCGCGCCGGCTAGACCTCTACAAGTTCTTATATTCAATCTGCTTTTAAAACAATATTATCGACATGAGAATTCCATGATAAGTAGTGATTGGAGATAATTTCCAAATCTTTAAAATCTTTTTAACATTAAAATTCATGGAATAGAGAACACACCACTGTTGGAGGTTGCCCAGATCCTGTTGGAACAGATCTTGATCTCCAGCAGTGTCAATGATCCTAGCGCATTTAAAGAGTGATCTGTATCAGAAGCATATCGCCTCGAAAGGTGATATGCTTCTGTCTGTATAGAGTGTAGTTAAAGAAGCGGGTCGCAGTCGTTGAATGGCCGGCGGTGTATAGCAGTTACAACCCCGGAGTAACAAGTAGGATTTTTGAATACGTAAACCGCCATAAAGATTCTATCTGGAGGGATAACTTCCATGTTGTTTCTTTTATACTACATGATCGAAGGGATGGAGTGGACTGACAAGTCAAAATTGAAACACACTCGGCGTCTGGTATGCACCTAGAACTGCGTTCTTTTTGCGTACTGATAACACCAACTTCTATCTTGGCGAATGTGTATTGACTAAACCTGTATGTAGTACAACCCTTTCGTCGTACATAGCAACCTTTACCACTCTTGATAAGGAGCCAAGCGGTCAAGGAAAACTGTCAGCTTCTTCCCTCTCTCGGCAAACATGGCCAAGAGGAAAACTTTCTTGCTTGTCAATTTGTGTAAAGCTCCAAGAACACCACATTCCATTATCAAGTTGAAAATCTCTGGACTTTGGACGCGACAATCTATGGTGAGGCTTTGGTCGTACGTGGTCAGCAGTTGTAGTGGATGGCTATTGAGACCGGCGGTTTGAAACTTCACGATAAACGTCTTACGACTGTTTCGTTCGGGTTTAGGACCCTCTCCAATACCTTTTAAATGAGTACCAAATGTTCGATGCGATACATTTCCTGGCTCGACCAAAGGGATCATATCCACTGTTACAGAAAAGCGACTTCTGAGGGCGACACATAAAGTCTTGTGTTTTGGTCTGTGTCTACGTTGACATTCCTTGCAGCAGTAAGATGCAATGTGGCAATTCGGGCATTTAATAACGCGTTCTACTTCTTCCTTTGAGCGGCGACAATACGTGCATCCACTGCAACGTTGTTCAACAACCTCCCTGGGATGATGCATGCCTTCTTCGTTATTAACTTCCTCGTTTCTGCTAAGAAATGGAGGAATGGAGTAACAGTCGTTCTCTCCCGATGGAAAACCTAGAAGAGCAGCAACTTTGATATCTATTGAGCTGCGATGAAAGCGGAGATTATTGGCTTTGTTTTGATACTCAAGCCATGGACCACTATGGTCTCGAACGATGTTTGATTCCAAATGAACTCTTCCAGAGTAATTGATACCAATGAAGATGCCACCACATTTGTTGGCAGTGATTACATTTCCTTCTATGTGTGCCGATGTTCGTGACTTAACAAGTATCCCCCAGAATCCATTCTCGAATATCCTGTTGTTACGAATCGTCATTTGAGAATTGCCATCCAGAGAAAGACCGAAAGGTCTGTTATGGTGAATATCGTTGTTGCATATCTCTATTTTGTTCGTAGTGTGGAAGGCAAGCATGCCTTCACGGGCATTTTCGAAGATCTTGTTTCCATCAATAACGCATTTTCCTGCATCTGGGCCAATCAAGATTCCGTGATAACCACTGTCAAATATCCTGTTTTCAGACGCAACAAGGTTCCCGCCTTCTCTTGCTTCTAAACCAGCCTGATGGTTCCTGTACACTTCACACATTCTGATCAATAATCGAGAACCTTCGTCAACTACTAGAACGCCTCCACCTCCACAGTCATGAATAGAACAGTTCTCCATCAATGCACAGCTTCCATTCATGATCTGGATTCCAGCACAACCAGGAAAACCAGAAACTGATGGCTCTCCAAACTTGTGAGTTCGATCGCAGATGGGCTTACCTAAAGCGGCTGCTTTACATCCAGGACCTCCGTTACATTCTGGAAAATCCTCACAACTCGTCACTCCACCAGAAAAGTCACAGTGGTTGGCGTGAATAGCTCCTTCCTTTCCTTTGCAGAGCAGAGCACTGTTCCCTTTGGGGAAAACGATATTCTCAAAATAAACGCTGGCATCCGAGACGTCACAGACTTGTGTACAAGACATAATAGTTCTGGGTTTTAGGCCTACAATCTGGAAGTCAGTGAAGGCAACAAAGCAGGTTAAGTTATACTCTCCTTCGTGCAATAGCATAGTTTCGTTTTCTTGCGCCGTCATCAATGCAAATGCAAGTTGTGTTTCATTCCTAATTTCTCTAGAGCGAACATCTGATAGTTCTGGAAACGTCTTGCAAACCTTTTTGTCACGGCGGAGACTGGAATCAAAATGTACAGCCACTGCTAATGCTGCTCGTGCCTGCCCTTTTAGTTGAGTAGATCCACTTTTAACTAGTTCTCGGAGAGCCCAAGCCTTGCGTAGCAGCGCCTTGTCGTAGCATGGCTTCAAAGAAAGACACTGTTGACAGTCATCAAGAGCATTCTGTGGCTGGCCAAGCTTCAAATGGCAAAGGGCCCTGTTACAGAACAGTTGATAGCCGCCCGACGACAAAGCAATGGCGCTGGAGTAAAGATCTAATGCCTCTTTAAACCTGTTACTTTTTACTGCAAGGTTTCCTTTTTCTCTTAGCTCGTCGGCTTCCTCTTCCTTCTCATTTTGAGGGACATCTGCTTCAGCCATGTCGTCGTATCTAGGAAGAGGCTGTCTCATACAACAAGATATCAGCTTGTAGTCCCTGTCTTTGAGGGGCACATCGATGAAATAAGGTGGCAAATTGGGATCTTCCCCTGAGGATGACCTTTCAAGGTTGACTAGGAACTGCAGTTTCATTTCTTGCATTGCCTGAGCCTTGACTTTCTCTTGAGAGACACTGAAAAATATCGCTGCCTCATTAAAGATGCGCATAGTTTCTTCTGTGTATAGCAAGGTGGGGACTGATTCTTGATGTTTGGTCGAGAAGCTGCGCAAATGTTCCTGCAAATAGGTGGCATGCGAGGCCAACTTTCCCCACAGCTGTAACGAAGGAGGATTCTCCACACTAAAAACGGCATCCTCAACAAAACTTTCGCACACTTCTGCCGGTGAACGTGTGTTGGCTAATGCGTGGTGAAGGACANCACAGCTGTAACGAAGGAGGATTCTCCACACTAAAAACGGCATCCTCAACAAAACTTTCGCACACTTCTGCCGGTGAACGTGTGTTGGCTAATGCGTGGTGAAGGACACGTACTGCACATGTTAGAACGCTAAACTCAGTTTGTTCTTTCTCCATATCACTTCGGATTACTTCTTGCACCAGACGATGTACACTGATGGAATGTGTCCCATATCTTTGGAAAAGGGAGAACTTAGTAAGAAGAGACACTATCTCGGCCTGGTCACACAAATCGCCAATGGCTTCAGCATCATCTACTTTGTTGAGGCCTTCATTGATCACTTCATAAGGAATATCGTCGGGACCAAGAAAGGCGGACACTTTCATCACAAGAGTCGGGATTTCTCCAAGTTCCTTCTCTTTTGAGATTTGGCTGATGTGGTCAAAATTCAGCAACCATGTAGTGTGGATAGCCAGGCGTTCAGGTGAAGTGTTTTCTACCAGATTCCGGGCCTTCTTCTTTTTCAAGAGAAGTAGCTTCTGCTCCCTATATTTCTTCATGTACTCTTTTATGGGTTGACGAAGACATCTTATATAAGCTGCAGCTTGATCAAGAGCTAAAGGAAGCCCACCAAGCTCTCGTACCAACTCACAAATCTCACTGTCGTTCTCTCCAGCTGTTCCCGTTCGCATTCGCAGAAACTGAATCCCTTCTTCATCTGTCAAGCATTTTAACTCGATGCAAACGTTTTCCTCGATACCCGTTTCTTCTCCAATTTCCGTTGCTTCTCTCCTTGTGGTTATGATAATATGGCCATGCGCCGCTTGTTTCCAGTGGCCAGTGAGCAACTTTCGCATGTTCGCAGACATTTCAAGCTCGTCAAGATTGTCAACAACCAAACACCACAACTTTTCGCACCTTCTCAGCCAATCAAGTGTTCCTGACAAGGAATTAGAAAAATCTTTTTCAAGAGTTCCAATTTGGCGCGCCATCTCGCTGAGGGATATTTGAAAAAGATCGTTGTTCTCGCCTGAAATCCAAAAAATACCGCCTGGATATTCCTCCTTCTCATTTTGACGCCAGAGGAACTCGACAGCAAGAGATGTTTTTCCTACACCTCCGAGACCGCAAATCGCTATTTCAGCGCAACCACTCTTGATGTTTTTCAGCTGCTTTGCTATTGCCTCTAGCTCGGTTTCGCGACCACAAAAGCAAGGATTGCGACTGGCTACTTGAAAAAATTCAACGTCGGCTGTTGCATTTATATTACTCTCTTCTAGAGCTTTAAGCCGAGATTCTAACTGACTCTGCCCGATTTCTAGGCCCTCAACCTTCGAGGTTAGACTATCTTGTCCCTCTTTCAAAGACGTGACAGCTGTCTTCAGGTCGCTCTGCCTTTCGTCTAACCGGGCAATGTTCCCTTCATTTGTATCTTGGCGTTTTTCAATGTTTGTTAAGCTGTTAGAAATATCTCCAATTGCACTTGACAAGGTTTCATTTTTTTCCAATTGCTCCTTTCGCTCTGCCTCCATTCGGCTTTCAATGTCGGTTATACGCTCATCAAATTTACTTATTTCATCTCCGACGTCCTGAAATGCTGTACTTATCTTCTTGGCTTCATCAGCACTTGATTTTTTGATGGCTTCGAGGTCCTGGTTTAGGGTAGTAATCTCGACACTTACGAGGTTCATTAAATCCTTATCCACTGGACATCCCATGCACAATATCATGCCTACCACGGAAATAAATAAATATCTCAGATACACGTACCATTTACTGTTGACAAGCAAAAAATGACCCGACTATTTAGCACGCCACAGGCTCGGATATGGAGGGTAACCTCATTTCACGTTTTGACACAGACAAATTGATTGACTGAATTGATTGAACACAAGTTTGTTCCATAAATCTAGTAGACGTGTATCACAAAGTAAAAAAATAAATAAATAAATTAAAAAAACGCTAGTCGAAATCGGTATGCAGGTTGCCTTCAGGATAGGTTATTCCCAATAAAGAACAACGAAAGGGGCAGTGAGATGTTCTCAGGATCACTAGAAGATGGGCAAAACTCATTCAAATTACTAACCCTTTGTTTCCCAGTCACGAAGATCATCAAGCTCTTTATCTTCATCAGCTTTTGGAAGCCCCAGTGAACGAATCAGTGTTTCCATGAGCTGAAAACAGTTTTGGAATTCTGGCTCGGTCCAGTGGTCAAAGTTGCAATGGCCCCACTCATTTCTCACTTTGGCGCGTACATCCTTTGCATTGGTTTGAATGCGAGCATGAAAAACAGATGCATGCGACAGAATCCCTAGCACCGCTGACAGGTCGCACGTGTTATCAAACCCTGTAAAGAGACACTAAAATTATTATTGTATGGGTAAGCACTTCGCAGAAGAGTGTAACCCATACACAGTAGGGCATCCATTTTAAAGGGGTTGGTATGGAACAGAATTTGGGCGTATTTAAAACACGAAATGGCAAAATGATGAAATGGCACCACGGTTAGCCTAAATAGCACTCAGGTTAGCCTAAATATCGATCACTAACACGAACGAACATAGCCCTCATCCAAAAATACTAATAAAATTTCAAATTTCTCAGCGAATCCGGCAACTAACTAACTCGCCGGGTAACCCGAAAACACTGACCCCCGGTCCGCGGACCCCCACTACGGACCGGGTCCGCGGACCACCTATGGACCGGTCCACGGACTACCCCTACTNAATTATGAAAGTGTGAGTTAATGTGTTGTTTTAGAATTAGTACCTCTTGGGGGTGAAAAAATTTTACGCTACTCCCACAAAACAGGTGTGTGGTACCTTGGTAACAAAATTTCGGATTAGCAACCCTGTTCTTTCTATATGGGAGATTCCCCCAGGCAGCATATTGTCTCACCTGTGAACTTAGCCATGTGTGGTTCAAGGTACAGTTTAGCCAGATCTACATCTGTGGTAACTTTGTAATCATATGAACGTTCCTTCCTCTTGAACCTTCCCCAGTTGTTGTTGATGCTACTGTAATTCAACTTAAAAGATCCATCGTGAGTTAACTGGGAACCAAAGACTTGAGTGTCAATTGTTTTAGAGCCCTTTAGTGATGTATAGTGTTTGGAAATTTCTTGACCAGTAAAATCGCGGAGAACTGGTAGAAGAAGCCTGTTCAGGCAAATGCCGATCACAACCCATCTCTTCTGCTTGTCTCCAAGGTCGAAGCTGCTGACTGCAAAAATAAATTTAAAAACAACAAAAAGATTAGACATGCAAGGGTGGGATCATCAGGAAATATAAGTCTTATCAATCAGTCAATCCTAGCAGTGGCTGTTGATTTACCAAGGTATTCAAGCATCAATCATGTGGTAAAATATGACCCTTTGGATCAAGAGTGTTTTTTTAAAAATTAATTTACAAACACAATATACATAGGAAAAACTAAACAAAATAAATTTGGATCAAGATGGCTAATGTTGCAAAAATCATGTTCAACCAGAATACAACAGACCATTTCCATATAATTTCTCCGTATTGGACCAGAACTAGCTTGCAATTGAGGCTAATGTGGGGAGTCTTTTCAAATGTAAATTACATTAATCTCTTTTTAATGATTTATTTCCCCACATGAGCCTCCAATGCAAGCTAGGTCCAGTCCAATACCGAGAATACAAATATGGCCTATTCCGAGACTCTATATACATGTGAGCCTCAAATGTCACTTCAATCTAGCTATTTAAGTACTCACCTGGACCTGCTGCAGCTGACGGTGCCGATAGAATTGTGGGAGCTGCAGAAGGCCCTGGAAGTGTTGGTGGCATAAATGAGATTGTTCTGTGGCCCCCGCCTGTTGCCATGCCACCCTAAAAAGAGTATCTGTCTTTAGAAAAACATCACTCACTAGACATAAACTCTAAGAATGGAGCCCTCTATCTAGCTACAGCTAGCAGCTAGTGCGCAGAGTACACTGTCCATCATTGTTAAATGTGAGTCAATGAAGGTGCTCTTTTAAGCTTACCGGTACTTTGAATTGTCAGCTAGCTAGAGCACATGGAAAAAGATGAAGGAGGCTGGTTAATACACCTTTACAACTAACTTCAGGTTACCAATCTCCCCTAGGCCTACTTATTTGCCCATCAGTTGTAGCTGGCCATGATCTTTCCTCTAACATGCAATAAGTGTATTCCAGTTTAACCCCCTCCCTCTAGGGGGATATCGGCTCTCCCTTTCTACATTTAAAGGGCTTTCTGATACTCATCTGCATGTATATTTAGAAGAGCAATTATTTCCACGGCTTTAATATCTGTGATATTATATATCACAGTTTTTCCTGTCTTTTAAACACGCCTAGAAAAAGTTTTGCCTCTTTGGCAGGGGTTGGATAATTAAAATAATAACATAAATTAAAGTTTAAAGCCATAAATATCCTAGTGTTCTCACAGAGTGCTTAAAACTGAGAAATGAATCTATAGCTTTTAGTTCTGAGAGCCAAAGGTTTTCAGAGATAAAAATTCAGAAATTATGATTTCAATCGTGCATTTTTCTTATGTGGACCCAAACGAAGAATTATGTTGATTCTTTCTCTTGTTTGGAACTCCCAAAGCTTTAGAAGTAAAATTTTTGAGTCACACTAATCAACCCCTATTAAACGGCCACTCTTGGGGAAATGGATAGCAGCCGCTTAAGGTAATTCCTCTGAAATAAAAGTGACAATAGATTTTTGTTCAAACTTTGTCCACTGAATATT